ACTATGTAGTCCAGCAGATGTTCTTGCTTGGACCCGGCATGCATCCATGATGTGTGGATGTGCCAATGCCGGAACAGAGTGTTAGTAATTACACGCCCATGGGCTGCACAAAAATCTAGCAGCCTCCTACCGTTGTTATTGAGCTGATCCGGCCCATGCCCTCCAACCACTCCAGACCAGGTGCCAGCATCATGACCAACTCGGGCATTGAAGTCACCCAACAAGATGACTCTATCCCGAGGGGCCACTTTAGCCAGCACCTGTGACAGGAGGTCATAGAAGGCATCTGACTCATCGGCTTTGCCTGCATCCCTCCACGGATGTTCGTCTTCAGTGGGGGCATAAGTAACCACGACCACCACTCCTCGCCTCCGGTTGATGGGAAGGCGAGCCCAACGTAGCCTGGGGCTTACTGCTTCCCACACCTCACCACCACGCTCCCACGCCCCCTTCATTCTTGTTTAAAAGAAGAGCCACACCCTGTTGTTTGGCAGTCTGCTGCCCCGAGTAGAGGACTGTCCACCCTTCATGGTGGCAGGAGCCAGAACCGGTCCACCGGGCCTCCTGAATGCCACAGAGATCCAGGCGGTACCGGTCCAGCTCCCGACAGAGGAGTAGCAGCCTCTCCTCCGCAGTGAGTGTTCGAGCATTCCACGTGGCCAAACGAAGTGGCTTTTCGTTGTTTCTGGAGGAGCCCCGAGGGTAGAGATTCAATCTTCTGGCTCCGCCAATTGGGGTTTGGCCAGGAGACGTCATAGACGCCTGTCCCCCCGGGGCCTCCGGCACAAGCTTATTAGTTACATATTTAAGTCGTAGTTTCGTGGTAATTTTTTGAAGGTGGAGGGGTTACCAGCCCCTCGCACCCATCCAGAGCCCCCAATCGGAATTGGCCCTCCCACCACAGCACTGTCCACGACAGAGTTGCCCGTCCGGCACCGCGAGGAGGTAGGGGGTTGTTTTGCCGGATACACATACACCACACGCCACACACACACACGCCACACACGTCACACACACCACACACACAAGCCACACACATACACCACACACACACACGTCACACACATGCGACACACACACACACACACACGTCACACACATACACCACACACACACACCCCAACCACACGTCACACACACGCCACACACACCACACACACGTCACACACACACACGTCGACCGCTACATGGGTGACAATTGAACCGGGGCTCGCTCTCTCGCCATCTTCATCGCCTCCTCCTCCGCCGCCTTCAGACTCTTCACCTCCAGCGACAACCTCCGCGCTCGGTCGCCCACCATCGCCGAGCCCAAAGTCTTCTTCTCCCCGATTGAAATTTGTCGGCAACGCCTACGACAGGCGCTGTTCAGCTGCCGCCACCACTGTCAGCACCACCATCAACACGGCACCAGCAGTCTCATCATCATCATCCAAATGCCGCCACCACCACTGTCAGCAACAGCAGCGGTTCACTGCGTCACACCACCATCAACACAGCACCAGCAGTCTCATCATCATCGTAATGCCGCTACCACCACTGCCGCCACCGGCTCGAGGTCTTTGCCACTTGTGTTGTCCCCCTGTTCTGTAGGGTGAGTGGAGTTTGTATGAACTCCCCCTGTTCTGCAGAATGAGTGAGCAGAGTTTGTATGATCTCCCCCTGTTCTAGAGAGTGAGTGGAGTTTGTATGAACTCCCCCTGTTCTGTAGTGAGAGTGGCGTTTGTATGAACTCCCCCTGTTCTGTAGTGAGAGTGGCGTTTGTATGAACGCCCCCTGTTCTGTAGCGAGAGTGGCGTTTGTATGAACTCCCCCTGTTCTGTAGTGAGAGTGGAGTTTGTATGAACTCCCCCTGTTCTGTAGGGTGAGTGGAGTTTGTATCAACTCCCCCTGTTCTGCAGAATGAGTGAGCAGAGTTTGTATGATCTCCCCCTGTTCTAGAGAGTGAGTGGAGTTTGTATGAACTCCCCCTGTTCTGTAGTGAGAGTGGCGTTTGTATGAACTCCCCCTGTTCTGTAGTGAGAGTGGAGTTTGTATTAACTCCCCTGTTCTGTAGTGAGACTGGAGTTTGTATGAACTCCCCCTGTTCTGCAGAATGAGTGAGCGGAGTTTGTATGATCTCCCCCTGTTCTGTAGTGAGAGTGGAGTTTGTATGAACTCCCCCTGTTCTGTAGCGAGAGTGGAGTTTGTATGAACTCCCCCTGTTCTGTAGCGAGAGTGGAGTTTGTATGAAGTCCCCCTGTTCTGTAGTGAGAGTGGAGTTTGTATGAACTCCCCCTGTTCTGTAGCGAGAGTGGAGTTTGTATGATCTCCCCGTTCTACAGAGAGTGAGTGGAGTTCTTACGATTCCTCCCTGTTCGGTAGTGAGTGGAGTTTGTATGAACTCCCCCTGTTCTGTAGCGAGAGTGGAGTTTGTATGATCTCCCCGTTCTACAGAGAGTGAGTGGAGTTCTTACGATTCCTCCCTGTTCGGTAGTGAGTGGAGTTTGTATGATCTACCCCTGTTCTGTAGCGAGAGTGGAGTTTGTATGATCTCCCCCTGTTCTGTAGCGAGAGTGGAGTTTGTATGAACTCCCCCTGTTCTGTAGTGAGAGTGGAGTTTGTATGAACTCCCCCTGTTCTACAGAGAGAATGAATGAGTAGAGTGTGTATGATCTCCCCCTGTTCTGTAGTGAGAGTGGAGTTTGTATGAACTCCCCCTGTTCTGTAGTGAGAGTGGAGTTTGTATGAACTCCCCCTGTTCTGTAAGGAGAGTGGAGTTTGTATGAACTCCCCCTGTTCTACAGAGAGAATGAGTAGAGTTTGAATGATCTCCCCCTGTTCTGTAGTGAGAGTGGAGTTTGTATGAACTCCCCCTGTTCTGTAGTGAGAGTGGAGTTTGTATGAACTCCCCCTGTTCTGTAGTGAGAGTGGAGTTTGTATGAACTCCCCCTGTTCTGTAGTGAGAGTGGAGTTTGTATGAACTCCCCCTGTTCTGTAGTGAGAGTGGAGTTTGTATGAACTCCCCCTGTTCTGTAGTCAGAGTGGAGTTTGTATGAACTCCCCCTGTTCTGTAGTGAGAGTGGAGTTTGTATGAACTCCCCCTGTTCTACAGAGAGAACGAGTGAGTGGAGTTTGCGTGATCTCCCCCTGTTCTGTCTTGGTCCAAAAAAATGCTGGAAGGAGAGAAAAAGCAAATAAACACGTGCGAATGACAAGTTACTTAACTGGGATTTACTCACAGATAATAATAATAACGAAGACACGGCTGCCGCACCACCACCACCACCACCACCCCGCCCCCCCACCCCTCCTCTGCTGTAAAAAAAGAAGAAAAAAGCCACGAGCCGAGAGACTCCGCGAGGTCTCCGCATCCTCCCTCAGCCCTCTCCGCGCCCTCGCATAACGAGAGGCCGACACAGAATATTCTACACACGCCAGCGGTTCGTCGCACACGCTAAAAACTCAACGGAGGAACCCCCAGCGTCACGCACGCCAGGGTACACGGGAACGTACGCGAACGTGGTGTTCGCTTGTCCAGCCGTCAAAACTTTCTCCTCCCACGGGCCTTCCCCCGTCGGGCCCACACGAGGTTGCGAGGGGGTGGGCGAGTTGGGGGTGGATGAGTGGGGGGGTGGGGATGAGTGGATTAGTGGGGGTGAGTGTGTGTGTGTGTGGGTGAGCGGGGGTGGGTGGGTTGTGGGTGGGTGGGTTGTGGTTGGGTTGTGAGTGTGTGGGTCTGGGTGTGGCTGGGTGAGTCTGGGGGTGGGCGAGTGTGGGTTGGTGGGTGCGATATTCGATGGGATCGAATCGAGACCCACCCCTGCACCCCCGACAGAATCGATGGGAGATGGCGCGGTGGTGGCGGTGGTGGCAGCGGTGGTGGCGGTGGTGGCGGTGGTGGTGGTGGCGGTGGAACCGTTTCGAGCCCCCCGCCCAACATCGCCGCCGCCGTCGTCGTCATCGGCCAGGGCCAATCCACTTCAAGACGGAAGGCCGCCGGCCGCGTCTCTCGCCGCCCAGGCCGAGCGATCGCTCGGCCACCACCACCACCACCACTGCCACCACCACCACCACCACCCACCGCCGCCACCACCCACCACCCACCACCGCCACCACCCACCACCCACCACCGCCACCACCCACCACCGCCACCACCACCACCACCACCCACCACCACCACCGCCGCCACCACCGCCACCACCACCCACCACCGCCACCCACCACCACCACTACCGCCACCACCACCACCACCGCCACCACCGCCGCTCCCGGCGCGTCGAGCGAGCGACTCGCCCGCTACCCCGCAAACCAAAACCGCTGCTCTACTCCCAAACTCCTCCCCGTCACCGGACGTCCGGGGAAACTTTCCCCGGTGACGCTGCCGGGCGCTTCGGTCGGATTACCGCCCGCACAGACGCCCGCTCGTCTGCCCCGTAAAAACATTAACGGGAACAAGTGGGGGGTGGGTGGGGTGGGGGGGATTGGGGGGTGTGGAGGGGTGGGGGGAATTTAGGGCCCATCTCATTCCGTTGGATCCTGAGGCCACAGAAAGGTGACAACACCTGGCTGCTGTGCCAGGCTAGGTGCAGGAGGCCACGGGACGGACCCAGCAGGCGGTGCCACGGGTTGGCTGCTGTGCCAGGCTAGGTTCACGAGGCCACGGGACAGACCCTGCAGGCGGTGCCACGGGTTGGCTGCTGTGCCAGGCTGGGTTCACGAGGTCACGGGACGGACCCAGCAGGCGGTGCCACGGGTTGGCTGCTGTGCCAGGCTAGGTTCACGAGGTCATGGGACAGACCCTGCAGGCGGTGCCATGGGTTGGCTGCTGTGCCAGGCTAGGTGCAGGAGGAGGTCACGGGACAGACCCAGGTAGTGCCATAGGTTGGCTGCTGTGCCAGGCTAGGTTCACGAGGTCACGGGACGGACCCAGCAGGCGGTGCCACGGGTTGACTGCTGTGCCAGGCTAGGTGCAGGAGGAGGTCACGGGACAGACCCAGGTAGTGCCATGGGTTGGCTGCTGTGCCAGGCTAGGTGCAGGAGGAGGTCACGTGACAGACCCAGCAGGTGCCATGGGTTGACTGCTGTGCCAGGCTAGGTGCAGGAGGAGGTCACGGGACAGACCCAGCAGGCGGTGCCATGGGTTGACTAACTTGAGACGACCACCAGCTGAACCCACCCAATTTTGCAGGCTCCAGGAGCATCACCTCTCGTCACAACTCACGAGTGCTCTCTCCTTGCGATTCGGACTGAACGGATTGACGCGGATTCATCCCCACGCTCGCAGATCCCCATAGCCTCAAACACAGATTCCCGTAGACTAGCACGAAGATTCCCAAAGACTCGCACGGAGATTCCCGTAGGCTAGGACGAAGATTCCCGTAGACTCGCACGAAGATTCCCAAAGACTCGCACGAAGATTCCCAAAGACTCGCACGGAGATTCCCAAAGACTCGCACGGAGATTCCCGTAGACTCGCACAGAGATTCCCAAAGACTCGCACGAAGATTCCCGTAGACTCACACGGAGATTCCCAAAGACTCGCACGGAGATTCCCGTAGACTCGCACGGAGATTCCCGTAGGCTAGCACGAAGATTCCCGTAGACTAGCACAGAGATTCCCAAAGACTCGCACGAAGATTCCCAAAGACTCGCACGGAGATTCCCGTAGACTCACACGGAGATTCCCGTAGGCTAGCACAGAGATTCCCAAAGACTCGCACGGAGATTCCCGTAGACTCGCACGGACAGACCCCGATAGATTCCCCCATAAGATTCCCCCCCCCCCCACCTCCCTACCCCCCACACACGACGATTACCATCGTTTCAAAAGATTCCGACATGGACTCGCACAGACCCACGGAGCATCACAGAGGGCGATCGTAGCAGTGAGGGAAGTCAGACAAGTGTGGGGGTGCCCGGTGCGGGTTGCTGTGAGAACAGAAACTCAGCCCTCCCAGGGGTGAGGGTTCACGCTATCCCCCCTCTACCCAAGCCAACCCCCTGAAGCGCCCTCCTCCCCCGCCCCAACAGCCTTCCACGACCGCCGTCAACCGTGAGCGTCGAAACTATCAGGCCGGCTTAGTGCGAATCCCCTCCCCCCCCCCCCCCCCCCCCTGGGCCTCCTCGTCGCCACCAAGGCCCCCTCTCGTCGCACCTCCACCGCCCGCCACCCAGCTAGACGATCTCCTCCTCCTCTTCCTCCTCCTCCTCCTCCTCTTCCTCCTCGCCCTCCCCTTCCTCACCCTCCTCCTCCTCCTCCTCTTCCCCGTGGGTCTTCTCGTGCTTGCGCAGGTGGTTGGACTGCGTGAAGGCCTTGTCGCAGACGCCGCACTTGTACGGCTTCTCGCCCGTGTGCGTCCGCTGGTGCTTGTGCAGGTTGCCGAGGAGCGTGAAGGTCTTGCCGCACACGGCGCACTTGTACGGCCTCTCGCCCGTGTGCGTGCGGTGGTGGTTGCGCAGGTTGCCCGACTGGGTGAACGCCTTGCCGCACACCGTGCATATGTAGGGTTTCTGCTCCGTGTGCGTGCGCTCGTGGATGTGCAGGTGGCCCGACTCGGTGAAGGCCTTGCCGCACGCGGCGCACACGTACGGCTTCTCGCCCGTGTGCGAGCGCTCGTGCCGGTGGAGGTGGCCCGAGTCGGTGAAGGCCTTGTCGCACACGATGCACTTGTAGGGCTTCTCGCCCGTGTGCGTGCGCATGTGCACCTCCATGCGGTGCCGGTCGTCCGTGCTGTAGGCGCAGCGGCCGCAGCAGTGCACCTTGGCGCCGGGGCGCCTGGGCGGACGCGGCTCCATCGGGCGCACCGCCGCCACCGGCGCCACCAGCACCCCCCAACCGCCTCCTCCCTTCGCTGCTGCCGGTGCTGTGGAGAGAAGGAGGGGGCATGGTGGGAGTGGAGAGGGAGTGGAGAGGTAGTGGAGGAGAGGGAGCGGAGGGGAGGGAACAGGAGGGGAAGAAAGGAGTGGAGGTAGTGGAGGGGGAGGGAATGGAGTGCAGGGAGGGAGGGAGTTATAATACATGGGTAGTCAGAATCAGAATCTTCACACAGGAATCCGACGAGCTACGAAGCTCTTTTTCAACACGTCCAGAATGGTTGGTAGGCTGGCAGCGCAGTGGTAACACTCACAGATGCCTGGGTTCAACTCCCAAATAGGGTGGCCTTTCTGTGTGGGGTCCATATGTCCCGCAGCGTGTGTGTACACTGTGCTACTCGCTCACAGCACTTGCCTGCCCCCAAGTCTATTAAGGCTACACGGGTGATCCTTGGAGCTTGTGAGGCAGCGGTCGTGCAGCGGTTAGCGCTGCACTTCGAACCTGGCCACCTGAGTTTGATTCCCGCTCACGGCCACCACCACGGAAATCATGTGAACCGGTCCTGGGCCTCCGCTCGGTCAACTCGGCCTCAATTGAGTACCTGGTTGCGGTGTCAAGTAAACGTCGCTGCTGGGGAGACAAAGGCGGCCTGGCGTGGTGGTGCTGGTCACCCACCCCCTGGTGTGCCATAGTGCCGGCAACCTTCACAGGCGCTACTTGCTACCAACAGCACTTGCTCCTACAGTCTGTGCAAGCTATACGGGGGATCTTTGTCTGTGTGTTTGTGTCTTGTCTCTATGGGAAGACAAAGGCGGCCTGGCGTGGTGGTGCTGGCCACCCACCCCCCCCCCCCCTCTTGTGTGCCAGAGTGCCGGTAGCCTTCATCGGTACAGTACTAACCATGTTAAATGTTGTGGGTTTGCTCTCCAACACACCACCGGTTAGTGCTGAACTAGGAACTAATTGGCACGTTTTGTTACGCGAGAAATCCTTCCTTACCAATTGGCTGTGTCGGGTGGTGGCGGGTTTAGTGAAACACATTTTTACCCGATCTGAACCCAGATCGGGTAAAAGACACAGACGTGCGAGTGTCTCAGTGTCTCTCTACCTACACTTGTGTCTCAGTGTCTCTCTAGCACACATGTCTGTGTCCCAGTGTCTCTCTACCCACACGTCTGTGTCTCAGTGTCTCTCTACCTACACGTCTGTGTCTCAGTGTCTCTCTACCCAGACGTCTGTGTCTCAGTGTCTCTCTACCCACACTTGTGTCTCAGTGTCTCTCTACCCACACATCTGTGTCTCAGCGTCTCTCTACCCCACACATCAGTGTCTCAGTGTCTCTCTAACCACACGTGCGAGTGTCTCAGTGTCTCTCTACCCACACGTGTCTGTGTCTCAGTGTCTCTCTACCCACACGTCTGTGTCTCAGTGTCTCTCTACCCACACTTGTGTCTCAGTGTCTCTCTACCCACACGTCTGTGTCTCAGTGTCTCTCTACCCACACTTGTGTCTCAGTGTCTCTCTACCCACATGTCTGTGTCTCAGTGTCTCTCTACCCACACATCTGTGTCTCAGTGTCTCTCTACCCACACTTGTGTCTCAGTGTCTCTCTACCCCACACGTGTCTGTGTCTCAGTGTCTCTCTACCCACATGTCTGTGTCTCAGTGTCTCTCTACCCACACTTGTGTCTCAGTGTCTCTCTAACCACACGTGTCTGTGTCTCAGTGTCTCTCTACCCACACTTGTGTCCCAGTGTCTCTCTACCCACACGTGTCTCAGTGTCTCTCTACCCACACGTCTGTGTCTCAGTGTCTCTCTACCCACACGTGTCTGTGTCTCAGTGTCTCTCTACCTACACTTGTGTCCCAGTGTCTCTCTACCCACACGTGTCTCAGTGTCTCTCTACCCACACGTCTGTGTCTCAGTGTCTCTCTACCCACACATCTGTGTCTCAGTGTCTCTCTACCCACACATCTGTGTCTCAGTGTCTCTCTACCCACATGTCTGTGTCTCAGTGTCTCTCTACCCACACTTGTGTCTCAGTGTCTCTCTACCCACGTGTCTGTGTCTCAGTGTCTCCCTACCCACACATCTGCGTCTCAGTGTCTCTCTCTACCCAGACGTCTGTGTCTCAGTGTCTCTCTACCCACACGTCTGTCTCCCAGTGTCTCTCTACCCACACGTCTGTCTCAGTGTCTCTCTACCCACACATCTGTGTCTCAGTGTCTCTCTACCCACACTTGTGTCTCAGTGTCTCTCTCTACCCAGACGTCTGTCTCAGTGTCTCTCTACCCACGTGTCTGTGTCTCAGTGTCTCTCTACCCACGTGTCTGTGTCTCAGTGTCTCTCTACCCACGTGTCTGTGTCTCAGTGTCTCTACCCACACGTCTGTGTCTCAGTGTCTCTCTACCCACACGTCTGTGTCTCAGTGTCTCTCTACCCACGTGTCTGTGTCTCAGTGTCTCTCTACCCACACGTCTGTGTCTCAGTGTCTCTCTACCCACGTGTCTGTGTCTCAGTGTCTCTCTACCCACACTTGTGTCTCAGTGTCTCTCTACCCACACTTGTGTCTCAGTGTCTCTCTACCCACACGTCTGTGTCTCAGTGTCTCTCTACCCACACGTCTGTGTCTCAGTGTCTCTCTACCCACGTGTCTGTGTCTCAAGTGTCTCTCTACCCACACGTCTGTGTCTCAGTGTCTCTCTACCCACGTGTCTGTGTCTCAGTGTCTCTCTACCCACACTTGTGTCTCAGTGTCTCTCTACCCACACTTGTGTCTCAGTGTCTCTCTACCCACACTTGTGTCTCAGTGTCTCTCTACCCACACTTGTGTCTCAGTGTCTCTCTACCCACACTTGTGTCTCAGTGTCTCTCTACCCACACTTGTGTCTCAGTGTCTCTCTACCCACACTTGTGTCTCAGTGTCTCTCTACCCACACTTGTGTCTCAGTGTCTCTCTACCACACTTGTGTCTCAGTGTCTCTCTACCCACACTTGTGTCCCAGTGTCTCTCTACCCACACTTGTGTCTCAGTGTCTCTCTACCCACGTGTCTGTGTCTCAGTGTCTCTCTACCCACACGTCTGTGTCTCAGTGTCTCTCTACCCACGTGTCTGTGTCTCAGTGTCTCTCTACCCACACTTGTGTCTCAGTGTCTCTCTACCCACGTGTCTGTCTCTCAGTGTCTCTCTACCCACGTGTCTGTGTCTCAGTGTCTCTCTACCCACATGTCTGTGTCTCAGTGTCTCTCTACACACACATCAGTGTCTCTCTACCCACATGTCTGTGTCTCAGTGTCTCTCTACCCACACGTCTGTGTCTCAGTGTCTCTCTACCCACACTTGTGTCTCAGTGTCTCTCTACCCACGCGTCTTTGTCTCCGAGTTCCCGTGTCTCTCACTCCCTCGTCACCACACAGACAAAGATGCCCCCCCAGCCGTGTAGCCTTCACAGACTGTTGGGGCAAGTGCTGTGAGCGAGCACCACCAATGAATGCCGGCACTGTGGCACACGAGGGGGTGGGTGGCCAGCAACCACGCCCGGCCGCCTTTGTCTCCCCAGTGGGGATGTTTACACGCCGCACCAGGAACTTATTTGAGGCCCGGACGACCTGGAAGAGGCTCAGGCCCGGTTCAAATATTCGCCACCACTGTTACTGAGCACCACAGCCACTGCACCGCGTGCCTTTATACACACAGCATCAACCACCGACACTCTGTTCTGTGTCTTTCTCTCTCTCTCCATGTCTCTCCTCGTCTCAACGTGTCCGTGTCTCTCGCTCCCTCCGTCTCTCCCCGTCTCTCCCCGTCTCTCTCACTCCCTGTCTCTCCCCCTGTGTCCGTGTCGTTCTCTCGCTCCGTCTCTGCACGTCTCCACGTGCCGTCTCCTCACTGTCTCTCTCCCAGCCCCTGTCTCCCTGTGTCTCTGTCTGTCTCATTGTCTCTCTACGTGTGTCCGTCTCCTTCCCTGTCTCTCTCCCAGCTCCCTGTCTCCCTGTGTCTCTGTCTGTCTCATTGTCTCTCTACGTGTGTCCGTGTCTCCTTCCCTGTCTCTTTCCCAGCTCCCTGTGTCTCTGTCTGTCTCATTGTCTCTCTCCGTGTGTACGTCTCCTTCCCTGTCTCTCTCCCAGCCCCTGTATCCCTGTGTCTCTGTCTGTCTCATTGTCTCTCTACGTGTGTCCGTCTCCTTCCCTGTCTCTCTCCCAGCCCCTGTCTCCCTGTGTCTCTGTCTGTCTCATTGTCTCTCTACGTGTGTCCGTCTCCTTCCCTGTCTCTCTCCCAGCTCCCTGTCTCCCTGTGTCTGTCTGTCTCATTGTCTCTCTCCGTGTGTCCGTCTCCTTCCCTGTCTCTCTCCCAGCTCCCTGTCTCCCTGTGTCTCTGTCTGTCTCATTGTCTCTCTCCGTGTGTCCGTCTCCTTCCCTGTCTCTCTCCCAGCCCCCGTCTCCCTGTGTCTCTGTCTGTCTCATTGTCTCTCTCTGTGTGTCCGTCTCCTTCCCTCTCTCTCCCAGCTCCCTGTCTCCCTGTGTCTATGTCTGTCTCATTGTCTCTCTACGTGTGTCCGTCTCCTTCCCTGTCTCTCTCCCAGCTCCCTGTCTCCCCACGTCTCCCCTGTGTCTCATTGTGTCTCTCTCTCCGTGTCTCTGTCTCTACCTATGCCTGTGTGTCCGTGTCTCCTTCCCTGTCTCTCTCCCAGCCCCCCTGTCTCCCCACGTATCCCTCTGTGTCTCTGTCTGTCTCATTGTGTCTCTCTCCGTGTGTCTTGTCTCTAACTATACCTGTGTGTGTCTCCTTCCCTGTCTCTCTCCCAGCCCCCCTGTCTCCACACGTCTCCCCTGTGTCTCTGTCTGTCTCATTGTATCTCTCTCCTCTGTGTCTATCTCCTTCCCCGTCTCTCCCAGCTCCCCTGTCTCCCCACGGCTCCGCTGTGTCTCTGTCTGTCTCCCTGTCTCTGTCTTGTCTCCCTGTGTCTCTGTCCTCACCCCCAATGGCACGCTTGACTAGGTAAGGTTTCGGAAGACGTTTCGACAAAGACCCCTCCTCGTGTAGCCTGCAACAGACTGTTGGGGCA